TATCCCCGTATATCATCCCATATGTGATCCCATATATCCCGTATATCCCCATATATCCCATATATCCCCGTATCCTCATATATCCCTTCGTCCCCATATATCCCCATATCTCCTTATATCCTCATATATCCCATATATTCCCATATCTCCCCATATATGCCATATATCCCCATATAACCCCATATCCCCATAAATCCCCATATATCCCATATATCCTATATATCCTGTATCTCCCCATATCTCCACGTATCTCTCCATATATCCCCATGTATCCCCATGTATCCCCATGTATCCCCATGTATCCCCATATCCCCCCATATCCCCCCACATCTCCCCATATCTCCCTATCCCCCCATATATCCCCATGTATCCCCATGTATCCCCATATTCCCCCATATCTCCCCATATATCCCATATATCCCCATATATCCCCATACCCCCACATCCCCATGTCCCCGTGTCCCCATGCCCTCATGGCCCCATTTCCCCAGTCGCTGTGTCCCTGTATCGCTGTGTCCCCACGTCCCCGTATCCTCGTGTCCCCATATCCCCTCATCACCCCATCCCCATACCCCTGTATCATGTCCCCATATCCCTGTATCCTCATGTCCCTGTGTCCCACATCCCCGTGTCCCTGTGTCCCTGCATCCCATATCCCCACACCCCTTTATTCTCATTTCCTTACATCCTCACGCCCCCATATCTCCATCATCCTACATCCCTATGTCCCCAAATCCCCATATCCCCGTGTTGCTGTCCCCCTGTATCCCCCTGTACCCCCTGTGTCCCCCATATCCCCACATCCCCTCTCATCCCCTCTATGTTCACACCCCCAACGTCCTCATTTCCCCCCCGTGGTTGGGGTCACCCAAAGGCTCTGTCCCAAGAGCTGGGGTTCCCCCACTCGCCTTGGGGGTGACGCAGGCTCTGTCCCTGCCACCCCACAGCTCTGGCGGCCGCCTCCCCAAGCGGGGATGAGTGCGCAGAGGAGGAGGAGGATGAGCTGGAGCCGGGGCTGGATGAGGCCGAGCCGGAACCTGACAGTGGGGCCAGGGCAGCGGGGGGACCCCGGGGGGCCGTGCTGACACGTCGGGGCATCACTCTGCGCGTGCTGCTGCGTGACGGGCTGCTGGAAGCGGGGCGGGGGGTCCTTTCCATCTACTACCTGGTGAGGGCAGCGGGGACGGGGGGGGGGGG